TCTCTACTCAACATATGAGATAAAATGTATCACGATTTTATCATGATTTTCTACAACTTTATAATTCTTTTGTGGGGTCTGTAGCTTAGGGGTACTGTTGGTTTTTCTCTCAACCGGAAGATCGGGGGTTTGATACCCAATTCCTGCAGACACATGTCCGATGTGTACTTGGGTATGACCCTTAACCCGAAGTTGCTCCGGCTGCTTCATTGTGGCATATAAATGTGTATGAATGGGATTAGTTAATATTGATGGCCACTTTACACAGCAGCCTCTGCCATCAGTGTGTGAATGGAAGTGAATGGGAAAGTGTGACCTGTTGTGTTAAAGCGCTTTGAGTCAGAAGACTAGAAAAGCGCTACAAGATCAAGTCCATTTACCAGTGAGCATTTATAGAATATGATTATTTTTCCAATTGTTATAACTGCAAAATACCTTTTTCAAATTTTTCTTTATAGTTTAAAGGCCCCTTTTTACTAAGTAAAAAACAACTATTTTTTCATGAAATGTGACACTGATAATATCTTACAGATAGTCTCTTCTAATTTTTTATTTAGAATGAACAAAGCTTTTTTTTTTTTTTAAATTAATCCCAAAAAGATTTATTTATCTTGAAACCTGACAATTTAATTGCTGCATGATAGTACATTTAACTGCTAATGCTGCTAAGTCTGGGAAAGATCAGCGAAATGCAGTTTGAAGGTCATGTTTCAGTGACACTGCAAGACGATGGACTACTGACTACAATTTGAATAATTTCCCGAAAGATTTTCGCAATGTGTGCTTCGTTACTTTCTTCCCACAGTCGTTAAATTTAACATCCTCTTGTTTTTTCATCCCTAAAGTTGGACTGGTGATGTTCATTTTACAGTCTGCCATCCGTCTGACACCCCCTTCACTTAGTGCACATTAGATCACAGAGTGCCTGAGTGCTGATGTGTGCTTGTGATGCACAAACAAACACTCTAAGCTGTTTGGTAAATTAACTACAAAAAGTGTCCGTGTGAGCAATGTGCACTTGTATATGAATGTGTTTGCTGTAAATTAGTCCTTTAAAGCTGGCACTGTCTGCCTCGCACCAAGCCAGTCAACATGTGTATGTAATTTTCAGTCAAGTATCTCTTCATGATTTTCACTTATGTACATGTGTGTGTGTATTTGAGTATGCAGCTATGTGTTGTTTTTATGTCTGTGTGTATGATTGATGGAGCAATTAAGTAAGTGTGATTCTGAAGTGTGTGTACATTAGCCTGGGTGTGATTTTTTTTTTTTTTGCCTCTGTCTGCAGCTGAAGTGTTATAAATGTATAGCCTGTGTTAACTTTTGTGTAACAGCAGTGACTGTATACTGACCAGGACTCAAAATGAACTCTGGGCATGTGTGTGTATTGTGTGTGTGTGATGACAGCGATAGCATGGTATATTTGATGGCCTGTGTGTTTCTTTGCTCAATTATCTCTGGTGGGGTGTGTGCAGGGGGCCTTGGGGCGACTGTGTGCAGAAGATAAGGGTGATTCATCAGTGTATTAATTTGTCCGTGTGTAAGAGCAGGAGTGTGCTTGGGAGGCAATGCATGTGTATCCATTTTTTCTGCATGCAAGTTCAAGCCAACTTGTTAATGAATGGTCATGTGGTTACTGTAAACCTCAGTAGAGCTGCGAAATGAATCACAATATCAGCATTATTCTGATATGAGCATGCACAATAAACACATCACAATATTCTGAATTTGTCGCAGTAAATAAGACAATATTTAGTAAACAAACATTGCTTTATCACTATTCATTTGAACACTTCCATGAGGTCTGTTTGAGTATCATGTTCATACTTTCGCACTATTTTGACACAGTCAGTTGAAGCCAATGCTAGCAGCTACCCTCAGATCAATTAATGCCAAATCATGAAGGACATGTTGCGAACACAAGCATTGTGTTCAACAGGAAGAACAGTACACGGACATAACAACTGTAAGTTATTGATAATATGCACTCTTTACTTGTGCTCTCTGCAATCAGTACAGCAACGACGACACACACTTCTTTTTTTTCTTTTTTCTTTTTCACCACAGCTGCACTTGAACCTAAGCTTAATTAGATTGTTATTTCTAACTACTGTGACTATACAACCCATGGAATCTGTGTTGTGTCCATCGTGCAGCCTTGTGCTTTGTTTTAACTTGTAACTAGGGTAAGGTATATTGTCAACGTCTGTGTTGTTATGTGTATGATATAGGCTTAGCTAAATTAACTTTTGCACAAATATTATGATGACACACATTACTTTCTTAAGAGTGCATTGTAAATAAATAAATATCAGAACAAACAAGTGAGGGTGGACATGAAAAACTTTGAAATATATTCCGTTTAAATGGGTCATGTGTTTTCCAGTAGAGATAAATCTAGGGAGATTTTTCATCAGATACTGCTTACTACAATAACCTGGTCATACAACTCTGAGTGAATGATTGTGCTTGATAACATCATGAATGAATCATAAATAGATGAATCATGATACAAAACAACAATAAAAACAAACCAGTCTAATACAACCAGCAGACACAACATGCTCACTTTCCACTTTGTAGCACATAATCATCATCCCAAAAACAAACTTAAAACAAAGCACTCCATGGCTTCATGTGGTGTCTCTTAATTCAACTATTTAAATACCTTCAGCCTCTCAGGGCTGACATACCCTTATAACGAAACAATAATTTCAGTTGTAAAGACTCAAAGGTTTGTTCATTTTAAGCAAGAAAGGCTGATACTGTACACAAAGATCATGTGACCTTAAGGGTAACATGTGGTGATGGACAGGATCACTCTGTCTCTGTCATTGATGGGAATCTTTTGCACTTCTGAGATCGTTTTCTACTCACATGGTATCTTCAAAACAGAATGTTACACAGCAGAGTTTGAGGAGGTGATAAATATACTGCAACCAGAGTGGATTTAATATTGTACGATGCAACAAGACTCATCATTTTATCAGTTTTATCAAAGCGAAACGCCACAGCACCATGTCTACTTTGTGCTGAAGAATATGTTGAGTTGATGTCAGTAGGTTAAATTATTATCTCCGTTCAAACTAACATACTGACAAAACACAGCACACAGAGGCTTCAACAACCACTCATCATTAGGGGGTTAAACTGTTGAACGCAAACCCTGTTGTCATAACAACCAGAGGCTGAATTTTGGCTTGTAAATTGGCATATAAGAAATGAAAGATTTTTAGAGGCATATACAGGTTTGAATGGTTTCAGTTGTTTTCTTGTAGTGAATGGTACGATCAGCAGTGTCAGGTTGTGCACTGCAGCGACTAGAAAGTGCTCAGGCCAGAGCTTATGAACTTAATAAGTCGCTTTGTTTGTTCCTTTTTTCGTTCTTCCCTTTTACTTTATTAAGCTGCCTGATATCTGTGATAATTTCTCAATTTTTAAAACTGTAACATCCTCTCTAACATGCAGGCCGGACGGACAACCCAACACTTGCAGGATTGCAGACAAGCATCCCCGTGGTTTTATCCTCACTCTGTTTGCGTTTCATATCCTCTGTAGGTCTTTTTATTTTTAAGACCGTTGGGTCTGTATATGAGAGAGAGTGTACTTTGCAAGCGCGTGTGTATGTGTGTGTGTGTGTGTGTGTGCGTGTGTGCGTGTGTGCGTGCGTGCGTGCGTGTGTGTGGTTGTGCCGTCAGCTAGCAGGAATGCATGGTACCGCCAAAGCTAAGATGGCTGCCAAGGGCTAAGATGGCTGCCAGGATTCCACAGAGCGACAGCACGGGAGGGAAAGGGAAGCAGAGACAAAACGAGTGTGAGAGGAATCACAAGAGAAATATGCGAAGATGATGTCGCACTCTCTAGCAGAATGAGAGAAGAGTGGTGCGGGAAAATTAGGAACTCTATCCTTGTGTGTTTTCTGTTCTTCCTTTTACCCAGAGCGAGGAGGGTTTTTTGGAGGAGCGGTCTCTTTGTTTAGTTGGTTTTGGCAACGCACAGACCGGGTGAATAGTGCATCAGTTTGTTGGCATGTCGTCCACTAATGCCACCCAACATTAGGACGCTGATTTGTGCTTATGAGATGTTGAGATTGGGCTGCGTAGTACTGCCTAGAAAAGGGGCCTCGTTCAGACTTGGGGGACTTGGCCCAGGACGGCCTTAAAGCTTCAGCACTGTGGCGTAATTGGGCTGAACTGTATATATGATATGTTCATAAAACTCTATAATACTGCATTACGTATCTAAAGAAAAATGGCAGCCAGCAGGCAAAACAAAACTAGCTGAAGCTGGCAGCTTTCTGCCAGCCTGCCCCTATAGATGCTAAGGTAAACACACACTGAAGATGCGATACAAACAATGCTGAGCGCCCAAAGTGTGCGTTTAAGAAGAGCCCCCCCCCCTTTAAGAAGGTTCAAATCAGCAGCTGAGAGCTTTATGTTTTGTTGGGAAATGTAGCACATTGACTAAGTTACACTCTCAGAGTCCTTAATTTAGAAAGCATCCATGTTAGAGTCAAGTACTTGTAAAAAGAAAAAAAATCAGGCATACACTGAGAGGAGTGTTGTTATCACAGAAGAAGCAATCCAACAAATACTCAGAACCCAGAGATGTATTTTTCAGTGTAGTTGAAGTCAGCAGTGGAAAGCTGTCTAAACACTTTACCCAACCTACACTGCCTTAAATTGTGTTTTGTCCTCAACTAGAATATTGTGTTTGTGCATTTGAGTGTGAGGGAGTCCCTGAAAGGGAGAGAGGGAGAAAAGGGCTTTTCAAGCCAAAATGAACAAGCATTCAAAAAACACCTCAGCCTTCAAAATTGGTGCCTTTTTCTAGTGAAAAAAAATATTTTCCCAGACTGACAGTCTCTAGAAGTGAGGATATCAAACATTCAATTTTGCCTTTTTATGACTTTAAACCGAGCTAACCTGCGGCCTGACTTATGGCTGGTATCCAGACATCTGCCCACCTGACTAACCATCTCTCCTTTTTCTATCTTTCAGAACAATCAGGACAATCAGACAACTCAAACCAGCAAGGAGACACAGACGTCAAGCCCCCACCGAATGGTAAGATTGAAAGTACAAACACATACATAAAAATGTCTTCATTTAATCAATGGTACACGCACTCACACCTGTACATCCACTAACACACATGCACATACTGTACATGCACACAACCTCCACATACAGTACCTCTCTGTGTGAACATTGCCCCAGCAGAGTTGGGTCGAAGTTTATTATGGTAAGAAGAGCTGATGGTACTGTAGCGTGGGGGCCGTGCCGGGATTGTGGCGGGCCACTCATAAATCACACTGACGTTATTGGAAGATGGGAACCACATGGCTGCTGCCGAGCTGAGCACTGACCTCATGCGCTGTCCCCGCTGTGGTTAACCCTGGACGGGGATGGAGCGAAGGAAGGAGAGGGATGGAGGATGGGAGATTAAGGAGTGATGGAGGTTGGAATGAAATCCAGAGTCAGGGTTGAGGAGAAGAGATGGACAGATGAAGAGAGGGATCAAAAGAAGGAGGGAGGGAGGCCTTCGATTGAAAGTTCAGTCAACGCTTGAGCTTATAATGGTGTCCGTAAAACACAAACCATATGAAAATGATGGATAGGGACATAATACAGCAAAGAGTCACACACCTTACAGTGGTTAGGGATAAAACTAATATCCGATGAATTCTGACCACCTGAGATAATATGCAATACCCGGAGTCTAAATGAATGGCTTATATGTGGCCTGAAGGTTTAAAATGAGCCTCATTAAAACACTATAGCTTGTTGTAGTTTTGGCATCAGTCATATTTTTTCACTTGTAATAATGATCATCTATTTTCTCATAAATTCTTGATCCAAAATGGCATTTTTGTTTTTGCAAAGATTTTGCTCCCCAGATCTCTGAAGAGTACAGTTTAACTGTGCCTGTTGGAGTTAAAGACCAATGCTTCAGTATACCCTTACGTACGTACTTAGACATGTATGTGCTAAAAGACCATAACATACAGTTTTATATACATTCTACAGCTGCCTATGTAGAGATTATACTGACTTGTTAGATGTGATTGGTTGTGTGTGTTGGACTGTCAACAGTCAAAATAAATGATAACATCCAAACCAACGTATCTTATAGAAAACACATGGGCCCAATTGAGGACTCCGGAAGTGGGCCAGATTTTTCCATACATGTGTTTTTCAGCTCCCTCATCTTGTGTCTTATGCATATGTGGTTTTCTGTGTCCACATGTAATTTAATGCATTTTCGGTGCATATATCCATGTAGACCGCTCTCACATGCTCCTCCTCTGTCTTTCACCCAGGCCACTTGAGTTTCCAGGACTGCTTTGTGACTTCAGGGGTGTGGAACGTAGCGGAGCTGGTTCGCGTGTCACAGAGTGAGTCGCAGCATTAACCATCTGTGTCGATCTACACATCACACTTAATCAACATTAATTTCAATGTAGGTGAAACAGGAGGTTTCCACCTGGAAGTCTTTGCGACCAAGCAATGCATTGCAATGGGTTATCTTAGAGTTCATGTAATGCACCCCGAGTGGGGATGAGTGTGTCTGCAAAGTTAAATTCCATGCTGTTGAATAGTTTGTGAAACATTTCAGCTCAAATGGTGACGTTAACAGAAAAAGGCAGCGAATAACGGTTGTTATTATAAAATGTACTCCTTGGACCACGGATGTCAAAGCTTGCAAACTCCATTCAATGTAAACTGATCTTTTAGTCAATGGTAAAATTATCTATCACAGGATAAGCGATCATTTTGAATGGCTGGTGACACTAGACAAAATGTCAGGGATATGAAAATCATTTGGTTCATCGTCTTACAAAGAACAACGGGGCTTTCTGTGTATTTTGTTTGGTAAGAATAGACATAGAATGGGATATTGTGTCATGTTCAGAGTTAATAAACGGGTGTTTTTAATAGTTAATAAGAACTCTTGGTCTGACATAAAAGTGAACAACCTACCGATCAGTTGTAATTCTATCACTACAACAAGTAAAACATTTTGAGTCTTATGTTATGTGTGTGTGTTTGTGTACCTGTGTGTGCTTTCCTCAGCCCCAGTTGCTACAGCAACTGGCCCTAACTTCTCCTTGGCTGACCTGGACAGCCCTGGCTACTACAACATCAACCAGGTGACCCTGGGACGGCGCTCCATCACCTCCACCCCCTCTACCAGGTACACATACATGCCCACATATGCTCTCAAAAGACAGATGCTACCCATGATCTTTTCCCTTGTACTAATACTCTTCATTTCTTTATTCTTCAACCTCTTAACACTGCTGTATTCTTGATGCTTAGCTTGCTCTGCTTTTTGATTGTGGTCTTTCTTTCCTCTTTCTCCCCTCTTTTTCCTTCTTCATGGCTTATTCTGCTCATTCCTCCTCATTTTCCCACCAATCTGTTTGTCATTCTGTCTTTGTTTGTGTCTTTTGTTTTTTCCTCTTGCTCCCTCTACCGTCCTCTCTTGCTCGTCTTACGCTGCAGGACTGAAATGGAGCTTTATGCAAGTCTCCCACGGAGGTAGTTACACTCATTACAGAATATCTCCCTTGATACTAATGTAACACAGAACCCTGCATTATACTCGCACAAAAGCCACACACGCATGCTGTCACTCAGATACGCACACAAGCACACATGTATTTAAACATTTTGGATCAGCAGTGAAACGCTGTACATTCACAAGCCTTTTATTTTATTGGACACAGATGTTTCAGTCTATAAGAATCTGCAAACACACACAAAAGCGTTCCAGCATCACTGTGCTTACTTTCTGCTCTCAGTTTCTAACTGCTCCAGGTCAGTTTGCAAACAGCATGTTGTACAAATTCTGGCCTCATCTGTCTCACTAGTTGTCTTGCCTTGTCCCCTCTGGCTAAAACATAATATGAAAACAAAACGTTGAAAGGAAACGCTGACATTTTGAATAAGTACAACTTCTGATTTTATGCAGACGCATGCCTGATTGAAATGAGAACTCTTTTTTTGTCCTCAAATGTCCCAAATATGATATGTCTGCATAAATTAAAACAAAAAAAAAATTGCTTTTCCCATTTGTTTTAAAACCTTGGCTGTTGTGCAAGGTAAAGTAAAATGGAAAATAAACTAACCCTGTCTGTTTCTTCGTCTCAGCTCCAACAAGCGCAAGTCTATTGACGATAGTGAGATGGAGAGCCCGGTGGACGATGTCTTCTACTCAGGCCGCTCCCCGGCGGCTGGCAGCAGCTCTCAGTCCAGCGGTTGGCCTAATGATGTGGATGCAGGTAGTCCCACTAATTCCTCCCCATCACATTCTCCTCCTGAAGCTGGGCAGAGGTTCAAGTCAATTCAGGCACAAAATGTGGCTGATTTTAAATGTAGATTTAAACAAATAATGATTTGATGTAAGCTTCAGAAGAAGCAACTCCTCTGGGTTTTTTTCTCAAGAGAAAATTACACTGAATTTTGAAGTCCCTGAAAACTTACTTTCTCACTTGAACATTGATGGAATAGATTGACAAATTGGGAAAACTCTATATCCTTTCTTGTAAACATGCACATGAGAATACTGACAAAGCTCTTATGTCTGTAACTAAGATTAAAAACGTGTTATCAGAGGGAATCATAAAGGCTGAAACTGTGCTAAACAGTTAATCTGGATTAGTCCAAAGCTAATAAAATCCACACACCAGCACCTTTAAAGCTCAGAAATATACACATTGTATCTTGTTCTTTTAAATCACTACAAACTGTAAAACTATATGATGATATTGTACCTGACTATTCTTTGACTCAGGTGTAGCAGCTTCCTAGAATCAACATACAAAGTGTTAATCCATGAGCTTTAGAGGTGGTGGAATATGAATTTTGATACCTTTGGAGAGAGCCAGGCTATTTACCCCCAACTTCCCGTTCTAATGCTAAACCTATGTAACTAGCAGTTTGCAGTAGCTTTTATCTAAAAACAAAAAAAATATATATTGATTTTTATAGCTCAGATTTTTCCTATGTGTTGATCCTATTAAGGTTCAGAGTTATGCATATAGAGGCGTAGTTAGGCGTAATAATGGCAACCGTCATCATAGAGATTTACAGTGTCACTTGAGAATCCAACTGGTAATGTACTGAGACTATACGTCCATGTAATACAGTCTATGGTCAACCGTGCTGCGATCACTTTTAAAAGTACAGCAGAAATAAACTCTAGAAATCCCAAAGTGGAATAACAACAAGTGTTCTTCCTTTGTGTTCAATTATGGGCCTAATCCTCAAGCTAATGGAAAAAGATGTTTTCAGGGCTTTTTGATACAAATATACTGACTGACTTGAAATGGGCCAGAAGCCACAGCTCACCTCCATCTATCATTCTCTCCATCACTTGACCCCCTCATCATACCAACTCTCTTTCACAACCTCTTCCATCTAAAACTTCTCACCCGCTCACAACCTGAAACCTTACCCTCCATCGGGCAGAATAGGCCTGTTAAAAGTTGAGGCAGTGTCATTGTTCTAAGGCCAAGTTTTACCATCCTTTTTTTTTACATGCAGCAAGGATCTTAAGGCCCAGTTTGCTAAAAGAAATGCGTAAACATAATTTTAAAATCCCTTTTCAACATTTAGATTGTTTTTTTATGTAAATGCCATTCCTCTATGGTTGTGGGGCGGAGGATGAAGTCATATTGATGCATACATTTAAACTTCTGCAAGTAAAATGGAAAACTTGCTGCATGCTCATTTGGTTAAAGTGTGTACAAAAATATTGGTTTAAATGAACTGAACATTTGATTAAAAGTTCAGTTAATTTAAACCAATCTTTTTTTTTATCGTGGTCAATCAGACCACGATATGAGTACAGAGAACCATTTATTCTAGTGTTTGTTGTCTGAGTTATAGGTGAGAAGAGTGGCAGAGATGAACTTGCTCATTCAACAGGCATAAGCACATCTGTGTGTGTTAGTGTGTGCATGCGAGTGTGTGTGTGTGCGTGTGTGCGTGTGCATGCGAGTGTGTGTGTGCGCGTGTATGCGAGCATGCATGTGTGCGTGCATCCGTGCATGTAAGTGTGGTAAATCGGAGAGCCACATTCTGTTGATATTTCACATATAACTGTAAGAAGCTATTAACAGCTAGTGTTGTGAAATCTTGATATCTCCTTCACATAATCTTATGTAAAGAAAAAGAGACACTTTTTAGTGTTTTAGATGACAATATAATTACAACTCTAACGAAGCTACATATAGTAGCTGGTTAACTTAACTTTTAAAGCAACAAAACGAACAGCTTATTTTGATTATTAAATTATAGAAACGATGGAAGATGTTTTTTGGGTACCTTGTCTAACATCTAGATGTTGCATTAAAACCCAACATAATGCTGTTTTTGTACTTTGAATTTATAGATTCAACTAATTAGGTGTAACTTTAAATCAGTCAGTTTAGAGATTATGGTAGGAAGATTATATTACTTAAAGACAGATCTCAAGCTCTTTGTTTTCCTAGCTGCTAATCTTTGTTGTAAGCTAGTGTTAGGCCAACCAACTTCAGGCTGTAGCTTCATATTTATGTTACAATACATCTTTTGTTCCTCAGAAAATTAGTTAATTTGTTGACACATTTCTGAACTATTCCTTTCACATTATTATCAGGACATATTCTGTGTTGACTTAAGAAAAACCGCAGAGCAACGTCGGTTACCAGCTTTAGAGTTTTATACCAACAATGGCTTGCAGCACTTTTTACCATCGTATGATGGGGTGAACTGTGTGTCTCTAGGGATTAGTTTTAGACTTTTGGGATTCTTTTAATTAACTTAAATCATGTATACTTTAATTTCTAACCGTCACTCCCACTCACATGCTGCCATTTCATTACTGCCAGCAAAAATGATGTTACTTTTTTATGAAAACTTGCTGCACTCTATGACATTAAATTCCCCTATTGTCCATTATTTAACAACCCTTCTTTCCCAAGTTCATTATTTCCACCTCTCCCTCTGTCTGTCTGTCTCTTTATCTCTGCCTTTTATTCTCAAGCTCCTTCTCTTCCATTGTTAACTCTTCCCTTCTCCCCTGTTTGGCCTTTCAGTGCAGCACCATTTGGCCAGTGTGCAGGAGAGGAAGATTAAGCATGAGAACGATGGAGTGCAGTTTCCTTACCATGGTTAGAACAACATTAAACATTCTACTGTGTACATGTATAAATGCTCTTCTTCAGCTCACACTACCCGTATACATCTCTTTCTGTCTTGTTTCAAGTCTGTTTGCACTTCCTATGAGCTGTCTATTGTCTTCTGCATTTTCCATCCATCCTTTCCTCTGCTCTTCTTGTCTCCTCTCTTCATCCCTCTCTTGTGTCTTGTTCTCTGGTTATGCTGCCGCTGGGTGGGTTTGTGTTTTTACCAGATGTCTGCTGTTGTCCATTGTGGGTTTACCAAAGCCTTTTGGTAGCCCAGTAGCTCCATAACATCCACCCCCTGTCTGCCTCAAAGATGCTGTTGTAAATCTGTGAAAGAAATCAGACATCTAGGAGGATGAAAACATCCCTAATGTATTACAAAAAGCATGTCTGAATTACTCTTATACCGGCATACACTGTCTGATAAACAATCCACTCGAAAATGTGTAATTATGTGCATAATCATACCCAAAAACCACATTGTAGTAACATAGCATATGCATACAAACAGTGTTTCCGAGGCAGTGTGATTTTGTCAACAACATTCAGCTAAGTGCTCTGGGTGTTGTAATTTTGTTGTCAAGCCCTGAGAGAGAAAGCCAGCAATGAAAGACAGAGAAATAGGAGTGTGTGTGTGTGTGTGTGTGTGTGTGTGTGTGTGTGTGTGTGTGAGAGAGAGAGAATGTGTGTGTGTGAATGAGGGTTTCTTGAGTAGCTGTGTTACCCAGTTGTTTGGACAGAACTGTTGAGTGGCGTCCCACCTGCTGTAGGCCTGTCTCAACCGTGTCTGAAAGACAGTGCAGGAAAAACAACATACGACCCAAACAAACACGACTAAAGGCACTCAGGTGTGTTATCAATGCACGAGGCACCTTCTGTCTCCAAGACATGCTTACTCACCAACACACACATTTACAAATGGCATGCAGACACACACACACACACACACACACACAACAAGATTTAATCTCTTTCTCTGATTTACATTCACACACACATAAACACACAGGCACTCCCCAATCTGGAGAGGAGCAGCGTTCCGGTCCAGATGGCGCCTCCATGTGTCTACAGCAAAGGGAGCTACTGGGTTACAGCAGACATCTGTTCTGGTGGTGGTGGTGGTGTTGGAAGTGAGAGATGAGGAGGGATGGAGGATGGGAGGTGGGAGGAGGGGTGGGGGGGGGGGGTGTGCTTGACTGCCTCTGCTTGTGCCTGTTCTGGAGGTGATCTTCCACCTGAATGAAAAGCTCAGAGGCATAGCAGGTGATCATGTAATTCATCATTAAGTCTGCTGTATCCCGCTCTGCTCTGCTATGCACCGTTCTCTCAGTCCGCCTGCTTGCTCCTGCTGCTCACTGGGAAAAAGCAAGCATTGGGTTACAAATGTAGTTGTGAGATTGACAGAGAATTCCTGCAAATTAACTGATGATACGGGGAGGGGGGGGGGGGGGACACACAACTGTGATGTGCCTTGTGGTCGTTTGTTTGCCTGAAGCACCATACCTGGTTGTTTATGAGTGCTGACGATATGCAGGGTGGTCAGTTTACGAGAGGGAAACAACTCTGTTCATGAACATTGTTTTCTGTTGACCCGCATGATGAGTGTGTGGGCTTTTTCTCTCTTTGGTATGTGTGTGTGTGTGTGTGGGGGGGGCTGCATGCACATGCTACTAGACCAGTTTTATGATAGTGAGTTTGTGTGGTGGCCAGCTTGTTAGCATGGCAAGACTAGAGGGTCATGGGAGCAATTGGCCGTCAGTTTGCTTGTGCAATGTGCCAGGAGCAGGACACAGAAATAATGTAGAACAAACAACTGACTGTGTGTGTGTGAACTCACACACACACACACACACACACACACACACACACACACACACACACACACAGATTAAGGGAGAGATCAGAGTAACTTCTGTTAGCTTTATCAGACAAAGCTTTCATTGGACATCTGGGCCTCATTTGCTGCTCCTCACTGAGAAGCCACATAGTACCAGATATTTCAACAAGATACTGACTAATTATGGAATATCACAGAGACTAAAAAAACAATATGTATAATTTAAGGCTGTGTATGCATAATAAGCTGGTTTTAATTGAAATTGTACTGTAATGGCATGCAGTAATCCCTATACATACCACATGGGAGCTGGAGCCAAACAGGCTTTATTACAGGGACGCATTGAATCTACAACATGTCGAACCAAGGTTTGTCTGTTCAAGTGGAAAGATACCCAAATGCCATATTCAGTTTATTATTCACTCTTTGCGATTTACATAAAATTACACAGGAAAAATGCTTAACGCACGTGTTAGAAAATTATTTAAGTAATTTAAATAGTTTCAATCATTATTACTACACATTACATCTTGCCTTAGGATTGAGACACTGGCTGCGCTTTCAAGAAAAACGAACTCTTCACGCAGTGTAGAAGGGTTTTATGGAACTTTCTCTGTTTCATGCTATTTCATACTTTACATTCCAGAGGCAAATAATGTGCATACATATTTTACAGTTAGAGTTACCGGTACGTTTCAGATTTTGACATTAATGTAATGATGCAGAATATAAATGAAGCTGCAAGCAGCGTCGAGTGGGCAGTCCCACCTACGTGCACAGTTCTATTGCAGCCGCAGTATCTTTCATGCACACCATTCGAAAAAAGGACTAAAATGTCACTTCCTTTGTCCCCTAGGTAGCACAAGACAACATTCAGCAATCATGCATTATGACGCTTGAAATCAAGTGTTTACCACACAATTAAATTTAACATCAATCAGAAACCTTAACACACGACTTGCTGCCTCACACTAATAGCCCTATGACATTGACTGAATATTTACATACATAAGTTTTGAGGGGAAACCTTGAACTGCCAGTGCCATGGCTTGTTATGAAAACTAAAGATTGGAAAAACTAAAAATCGACTATGGCTAAGTCTAAGTATGTCTTTCACCATCGGTAACTTATAAGAGGTTTGCATGCAGCAGCAGGTCTACCATAAATGTAATAGGTTGTGATATATCACACAGTAACACAAAGAAAGTGGATGGATCACAAGCCTACACTACTAATGCTCTGCTGATACTAGCAATTAGTTTATAATTTTTATCTTCTTGAATTATTTGTGATTTTTTTATTTTATGTTCAGCTTTTTTCTACTACATCTTCGTGGCTTTATGAGCCATGATATTTAACCATCAATAGTTAAAAGTCAGTTCTAAGCAAATCATATATCTTGTTATTTTCTTTATTAAATATATTCTTATTTTAAGATAAACATATCACGTGTGTACAACAACATAAGCACTATTAGCAAAGGTCCTTAAATAAGTGTTGAAAACATCCATCTTCACACTCTTAACCTGGTTTGCCTGTAAGCCTGCCCTGTGTGGTTGTGAGAAATCATACTTTTTCTGTTTGTGTGCTGTCTCATATTTCGTAATTATACCAGTAAATGAGGTTTATATCACCCCGCTCATTGCACACATCCCGCCTAAATGTGTCACGTGATGTGCCTTGATGAAACTAAGAGCCAGTGCCCACCTTTTTCTATACTTATCAGTGCCCACACAAGCACAGCTGCGCCCATGCTGCCTATGAGTATAATGGGTAAATAGTGATAAAACATTTCCCAGCGTAGTATTTAAAAACAAGCTTTTTCAAAAATCTGTGCTCTTAGATTTTATATGTTAGCTCATAAAATCTATTTCAACATTTCTTGGGGCAATGTTGAAATTACCCACGTCTTTATTTGAGTGTGTTTGTTTTATATGTGTGAAAATTGTGTCGTTTGTGAGTTTATTGGGCTTTTGGTTGCCATGCTTGTTTATCACTGTATTCTTTCAACCAAATCTGAGGAAAACAAAACACAAGTCCTGTGTATACCCGAGAAATGTATTGAGGTCTGTGTGCACACTGATGTACTTTTCAATACTTTTACTTCCCTATTATTCTCTGTTTTATGGATTGTTTCTTCCCAAAATATACTCCAGCACGTATTCAACATTGCGGTTCCCTGCAGAGGTCGAATACACCATTTGGCGCTGCTCCTCAAACCCTGAAGTCTAAATTGTGCCTTTGGATTACCATATATCAAAATACAATCCCTCAGCACCCACCACATAAGGTCTTGATCACAGAAGAGTGCCTCTTTTATCTGTAGCTCTCACACTTTTGGCCATGTCTCTGGTCCGCTGGTGAGCCTGGCCTGTACTTAGTGTGCCTGTTTTTACCAAACTGAGGGATTTTTCATGCAGCCCTTAGCCGCAACCGACATTAATAACAGAGGGGGACACTTTAATAAGTTTGCCTATGTGTGTCGGCCATATCGTCACCACTCCTCTCCTGCTTCAATCCGTCCATCTTTCTGCTGCTCTCCCTTCCAGCATTCACTGGCAATTTGCCTGGTGCTCACCACCCAGCCTGAAAACCTTGTGTATATGTGTGTGGTAGTGTTCAAAAAGCCCTTCTATATGAAATACATTGCGTCTTGAGGGAGTCAAATACCTGACTGTATGACTGTAAGATAAGCAGAAGGGCACTACGTGAGAGCTTCTGTTGATGTGTTTTGACTTGTTCAGCTATATGTAGTTGTGAAATTCATGCTGGTCTTGACTGGAAAGCAAGAATGCCCTAGTTATGAAGCCATCCAGGCCAATTTATATTTGACAAGTGCAGTGACTAGTCAGTAGTTGTTTGTCTATTCGTTGATCATTGTGGTTTGAGATTTTCAGATCTCCAAAAAAATGTAATTGTATCGTATTAAAAGTTTACCTAGTAAGCGGGACTTTGCTGTGTTGTTCATTTACAATCCAGTGGTGACCATAGTTGGACCGCCATTGCATTTCCCAGCTCTCCTCTCTCCTGACACTACCCCTTAGCCTCACAACCTCCCCACCCCTTCTCCTTCCCCCTCTCCCGTCACCCCCCCCCCTACGCTCTGATCCCCTGCTGCTTCAAAATATGATCTCACACCAGACCTTGCCCTAAACTCCCCCCTGCTAAATCTGAAGGACATGGTACAGCCCGCTGACTGTACAGAGTTTTTGACAGACCAGTTGTGAGGACCCATCTGTATGTTAAGACAATCAACAAATCAATGAATGAATCAATCGATCAGTCCATTGATTTCAGTCAATCATAATCATTCGATTCTTACAATCAGCATTTAAAAACGATAAGTTCATTTATATATTAAAAATTTTTATTAAGTAGGGTCAAAGTAAGAAAAGCAGCCATGTTTGATTAAAACCTCGTCTCTGTTCTGCCATTTTGTTGATCCCCTTTTTGCCAGGACTCTCATCGCCTAGTTCTCTTAAGAAGCCGGGGAAATTCGATTTCAGCGCCCTGTCCTCCCAGACGAGGTCCCCCCGCATGGCGTTCACCCACCACCCACTGCCAATGCTGGCGGGAGTGAGACCAGGTGAGACCAACCCAGCTCCCAATTCCCCCTGATCGCCCCCACCTCTTCCTCCCTCCAACCCTCACCATCTCCTCCTTCCCACCCGTCCCCTCCTCTTGGGAGCAGAAGCGGGAGCATTGTCTTTGGGAGATGAGAGTGGCTGGGAATTAACATCAGGCGGGAACCTCTGCCTGTTTTGAGCTTGTTGGGTACAGGTCAGGCTGGTGATCGAGCTTGTTGGTAGCCTGGGTGTGGTGACTTTTTAGGGTCTGTCTGGTGGATGGTTGGTGCTCTTACAACTTTTGATATCACACTGTAAATCACTTTAATCTTCTTCAAGTAGAAGGACTGGGCTTGGGGCTGCTACTACCTATTCTGTCACATTTCTTCTTGAAAACATGCTTATTTTCACATTTCTATCTTTGTAAATAATAATCTTTTAAAATATTTAGTCATGTACTCACGGCTCAGTTGTCGTGTTTTAAATTACTTAAACTTGACAAATTTGCAGAGATTTGGTACTATCTAAAAATATTCGTGGACAGAAACAAGACAACTTACTGTTCAAAAGAAACCTCAAATGTAAAAAGACAGATTAGCATCGTTTAATTTGGAATTGTATAGATAATTTTAATTTCAGTAGAATATCCAGGAGGAAACAGTTTTTTGTTTTCCATATCAATACAAAAATGTATGGCTGTACACCTCCTATTTTAATGGTCTTCAATTTTACGTTGACCGTTACATCAAATCAACATGAATGAAGTAACCCTTATCCTAACATATAAATGATCTAATTATGGAATTTCCACTTTGGCTTAATACTTAAACATTTTAGCATAAAGCCTTCAGGTTTAAAAAAAGATGGACCTGGCAGAAGAGAGACGAGGTTTGATACCCTTTACTTGCATGTTCAACTCTACATCACTGGTGGCCCTTAATCCCTGCTTCTTTTTTTAGACTGGATTGTTAACAGGACAGAAGGCAATTGCCTGAAACACCACGGCTCAGGGCTCACTGTCTTTGCATACGGTTTGAAGTTGTTTCAGTGATTGCAGTTTTGTATGGGAGTATAAATGGAGCACTACTAAATGACACATTACCTGATTGGATCAAGGCATCAAGACATGAGACCTTATCTTCATTAGGGTCTTTGTATCCAAATCTTGTTTGGGTATGATTTTGATATCAGATTTGTGTGGTGAGCATTCCTGTATGTGACACAATAGGAAAAGTCTAATGTCCAAATCACCACAGAATGAAGGAGCATGACCCCAATGATGTTTTGCCTAATGACACTTCAGCAGGCAGAACACTCAGGCCAAGTATTTATTCATCTCACTGTTCTCCATCCTCTCTCTCCACAATCTTATTGACTTGCTCTTCCTGACCATTTAAGATCTCCAAATGGATCTCTATTGGTGTCTTTATTCATACTGGCTTGGGCTCCACCAGGCTAAAACAAGTAGCTCATGATAACATCAGATTTCTAACATAGCCAAAGGGGTTCAAACAATAAATCTACTGTTTCTTAATTTTATTACCATGGCACAGATCGAAGAGGTCTCAATTTTTTGAATAGTGCAAGTCTGTAAATTTGCTCAGAGCAGGAGCTTGCTTGAGATCATTATCCATGTGATTTAGTCGTCTGTAGCTCAGCTACATCAAATGAGTTTTAAGCCACAGAGCAGATGTGAAGCAATGAGGTTGACCACCGTGTCATTAAACCTTCCTGTGTAGTTGTTGACAGATTGTATGTTTTTTTTAGATATAGCCACAGAAAATCGAATCTCCACTCACACACACATAGATGCGTATTCATGTTCACCATAAAATGAGTGCATGTATACCTTATCCCAGAAGTTGCTATTTATACAGTTGTGATTTGTTTCATTTTTACACAATTTTTTACAAGACACAACCTGAAGCTCTTCCAATGCTGGCGGGAAAGTTTTAGTTAAAACTAGTTAGCACTTACACCGGCACACTATATGTTCCATGGAATATGTGAGGTGCTTAAACAAGTTTGGTCAGCATTGAATAGCTACATGTCTGAAATATTAAGTTGAAGTCATACATGCTTTAAAGGTTTTGCTCAAAGTTTTGGCCTTGTGACAAGAAATGTTGAACTAAATGTTTTAGTGGTTGAAAAAGTTGGCTCGATATAATGGCTAAATGTCTTATAGGTTAGATTAAAGTACTAAGTCAAAGTAATGGATAACGTAACTGAAAATGCAAGCTAAGAATCTTTGGATGTATATGTAAAGAATATGGGTTCAGGTTCCAAGCATTACAAATGAACACATTTGGGACTTGTGTGGTGTTCATGAAGGGGTACTTAAGTTCATCTGACAGGTCTTTGGGGATACAACAGACCAAAAAGGTTGGGAACCACTGCTCTAAAGAGAGAGGGTAGGGGTGTAGGGATTCCCCTGATCCTGCACATCCCCAGCCCACCCCTAAACCCCCATAGTGTTTGGCCTTCACCCATTATTTAATGGGATTAGAAGAGGGCTAATAGAAGCAGGGAAACAGCTCTACTGGGGAGCAGGCAGCCTGGCAGGGGAGCAAGGTGTTGCTGGGCTCAGAGGCATAGGGCTCTGTCTGGGGGGTAGTGCAGCGCAGTTTGGCACTCTCATGAAGAACACTCACACACACAATGTATAAGATGCAGCACCACAGAGTGTTGGCAACCCAACATGGGCAGCTGGGGGCCCTGGATGAGATGAGATGGGGTGGGTGTCAGACTGGCACAGCTAAGAGGAGAACAGGCCCCTAATACAATCAAGGAGATTTAGTAATGGATATAGGTCTGACAGAGAGGGCTTTGTGTTTGGTGTTAGTGTTCAACCGACTGCTCCCGTCTTATACCTCACATATATTGAGCTCTGTTTGGAGCAGAAGAAGGAATGCCTTGCCTATAAGCTCATTAGCAGCTGAATGCTGATATAGTTTGCATCCCCATCCATGATGGGCAGAAACACAAACACACACACAGACACACACATATATATCATCAGATATGACTCCCCAAAGCATAAAAAAAAACATGAGCTCAGACTTCAAGTGTGAACATACTGATGAGTTCTGTCAGAGAAATGAAATGAATCACATTAGAAAAGGCTTTCCATCAATGCCAAATTGCATTTGCGCCAATGGTTCACACCCTCAAAACAGCACACAGACATTCAGTCATTAAGACGGACTAATTTAAGACCATGCTCAATGATCTCTCTGTGTTTTTGTCTTTTCGCAAGCTTTTTCTATCTATGAATTTCAAGATTTAGTATTTGTTTACTTGTGTGTTCAAGTCTGAATGTTGTTTACTTTGTTATATCGTCTCTGTGATTGTGCACACATGACTGTAATGTGTGTGTGATTATCTTCCCTAAAGCTGTAAAGATTTACTGGAGTGATGATAAAACATTATGAGCTATGCTCTTAATGGTTATTAACTCAAAATGAGCCTGTCTCGGAATACAACTTAACTATGATGTACTGTATTTTAAAACCCGATTGAAACATCATGGGTTCCAGTCATAATGTGTTTTTCACTGTATGCATCTCACCCAACTGTAAGGCTGTGTTGGAACTAAATGGTTTTATGTGTTCCTCTCGCTTTTCTTCTATGCATCTGTCTCCACTTGACTTTCTCTACAAATGTGTCTGTTGGCAGGGAGTCCCCGTGCTTCAGCTTCGGCCCTGCACTTCCCGTCTCCTTCCATCATCCAGCAGTCTAGCCCCTACTTCACCCACCCAACCATCCGCTACCACCACCACCCTGGACAGGATCCCCTGAAGGAATTTGTGCAGTTTGTCTGTGCTGATGGCTCAGGGCAGTCCGCTGGACAGGTAAGGCCTACTGCCGGATTGGAAAGACACTTTTAGTTTTATGAATATATAATGTGTCACACTCAGCACTTAGTTTGCATTAGTATTGAAGGACTTTTTCAAGGAGAAAAAACATTTTTAAAGCAACAGTGTATGAATCTTAAATGCTTAGCATTTAACCACTGAATGAACAAACAACAGAAATATATTTCTGTAAAGATGTTTCTATAAATTCAAAATTAAGGCCACAATTATAATAATTAGAATTTTGCCAAACTGAATTTTAGCAACTTCAAAACAAGTTTTGCAAATACAACTGGAATTCTTTCTTCTTTGTTTTATAACTGCTCCCTGATTTAAAAAAAGGAAAGGAATCCATATGTAAACAGGACCTAATTAAACGAGTAATATATTTTTCATACACTGTAGATATCTGAATTCCTAAATTAAGTATTTAGTTGTAAAAAAAATTAGCTACCATGGCTTGTTAATGCATTTGTACTTATTTTGTATTTCAGAAAAACCAACACTGGCTTATATCTGAAATTGCATTGCTTAAGAATCTGCATTCCTTTAGTTCTATAAATTTCATGACATCTAGGGGCCAGTGTAGTCCAGATGTTTATCCTGTGGTGTTGTATGACTACTTGCAGATTAGTGAGATGCACAGAAATACACCCCACAGCAATACACACAAAGTGGACACACTGAATGTTTGTTTATCCAGTCGGTGTACAAATCTTTGTATTGTCTTGTCAATGTCATTTTACTGTTTGCTGTTTCAGACCCTGACTATCCCACTTCTTTCCTTTTTTATTTATTTATGTAACTGTTTTTGCTCCACCCAACCCCTCAGAAGTTAAAACCATCAGCACAGCACTGAATCAGTCACAGCACACTTCAGTCAAGCATACCAGTCATATGTTGTGTCATCGTGTTTCTGTTTTCATCTTTAGCTGTTCTTATTTTAGTTGGAGTTTGGTTGTTTGGTGCTGGTATCGTTGGTGTTGGTGGTGTTGTGCTTGTGTAGACAAGTATTTTCCCATGGTTTTGATTTCTTGCCATCTTCAGGACAAACCTAGTCAATAATTTGCTCACTCCCCTGCGTTACATCTCCTCCACCCACCAAGGACCACCCTATGGAACCTTTCACCTCAAACTCCAGCTCCCACTCCTATCAAACCCTGTGGTGATTATTATTTTTCACACATCCATTAAAGATCCAGTCCACATACATCATTCCTTTGGTTGTTGTTTCCCACTACCTCTCCCTCCTTCCACTATTGCCACCCCCTTCCTTCCGTCATGGAAATTCCTTTGGACCTTGCCTCCCAAGATGCGTCCTCTTTTCATTCGGTGTCTGCGGATTGTCGCCCTCCTGACCCTGTTTGTGTTGTCTGCAGCCAAACGGGAGCGGCCAGAGCAAAATGCCAGGCTCCTTCTTGCTGCCTCCACCTCCCCCAGTGGCCCGCCCAGTGCCCCTCCCTATGCCCGACTCTAAACCCAACAGCACGCCCCCTGACGGCGGACTCTCCTCGCCCGCATCTCCGTGTAAGTGACCCCGTGGAGACCGAAAAATAAATATGAAATTCCCAAACCTCACCAGTGAACAGACCCCAACCATTGATCTTCCTCCAACTTGGTGCAATCATTGCTCCTGTGTTTTCAACATCTCACCTCCTTTAACCCTTTGGATTGCTGTGGGGGGCAGCACAGGCTTTACTCTGAAGCTCAGCAGATTCAAGACCAAAAGAGGTCTAGTGGGATGTATCTTCATAATGGTTTTCTGTGGTGTCCCTTAGCATTCTGTATCAGGCCCAATCAGATTGACTGGCACTTTCTGTTGAGCACATTCTGAGTTGATTGGTGTGACGCAGTTTCACCCTGTATTTTTAAATCCTCCTTTATGCCCATGCATATTGATTCTGATTTGAGCCCTTTAATACATTTTTTATATTTTTGATACCAGTATTTTCTTCCCAATATCGAAAAAAGCAAGGGAAATTGTGTTTTGCTTGATAATATCTGAAAACAGTGCAATACTTACTGTATTGCACTGTTTTCAGTGCATTATCATAATATTATCAGATATTATCATAATTATTGTATGTCAACACCTGTATAGGTTTAACCCTGTATGGGTGTGATGAGATTGCGATCTGTATTGCCGGTTGCCGGAGTCTGGTTGAACCTCTTAGCCAAATAGCTCATTTTATTATCCTATTTGCCAGATATTTATAACTGAAATAGAAATTAAATAAATGTCTCTGCCTCACTTGTTTCCAACAATCTTAAGTGAGACACTGATGAGTGTTTTCATCACTTTTTGATTTGAATTGCTGAAAGTCTGCTGGATATGACGTTATATTCTCTGCTCGCACAGCATTAAAATCAGTTATTCTATGACGCTCTGAAAAGTAGTTGCTACTGGCAACCATTCTACATCAAAGGCTACTTTTTTTGTAGCTGTGAAGAACTTGTGTTGAAACAAATAGATTGATGGGGGCTCGTGAATTATGGTATTGAAACTGTGCATGGAAGGGCCTGCCTGGTACTGAACTGGTATCAGATTAACTTTAGCAGAAAAAAAAAAAAGACTGATACTGGTTTTGCTTGTGGGGAGTTTAGATCCTCAGTGGGATTTCTGGTTTGTTTGTGAGATGTTTGTTTGGTAGAAAAGATAGCGTTTCAAGCATAAAGAGGTGATGTCAGTCTAACTGCAGGCCTTCTCTCACAATACATTAGACTTCTTTACATTTGGCAGGAGGGGCACTGGATGGAGCACTTGGATTTTATTGTCTGTAGCTTTCCTTCAAATGTAGTGTTTGCGTTCTACCCCAGTCAGCGTCTCAAAGTCTTTTTATGTCTTATGTTTGTGATTCCAAGGTTAGAAACACATGGATGTTTACTGTTTATGTCCATACACATAAATTTCCAGATACACTTCCTTTCTGTCTCTCTCCTTTGTGTCCTTCCTCCCTTTTCCTGCACACATACAAACTCAAAATGCACAAGTCTGCTCACTGTATCCTGAATCCCTCAGCGAAATTGAAATGCTTGAGTCCATAGGGTACCTTAAACTGCCCTTAATTTGTCAGAGACTTTGATGCCAGTGGGTTTTAAAAGTCCCTGACTGATCCTCAGTGTCAGGATTTAAGTGTGCTCAATCATTTCCAACTGAGTTTACAAACAAGATTTAATCACACAGGGAGGTCTAAATTTGCATTCCAGATTCTGAGGCTTCTCTGTGGAGTTCAGATGACCTCATTGAGATATAGCAGCATTTTCTGAAGTACTTAGTATTTATTTTTTGTTTTCATTAACAACAGCTGTCCAAATTGTATCCTGCTTTAACAGGTAAAAGGAAATGCTGAGTTTTTCTTTGTCTTGGTGAGGTTCCAGTCCTCTTAACATAGCATACCATACATACTGCAAGCAGGGGGAAACAGATAGCCTCTTGTGTCAATATGACACAAAATCATCCTGCAAGTATCCTCTTCAGCCCATTAATAAAGATGTTTCAAGTAGTCTGTTTAATTTGTACACAGAACAAGTTGAATAAGTTTTTTGGTGGATATTAATAAGACTTTGTTTACCATGAGTGACATTATAGTCTTAATATTTCACTATATCATGTTCCACGTTATAGTTATCTTTAAAGTCCAGTGACTCATTTCACTTTGGAAGGAGCCAGGCTAGCTATTTCCCTCCTAATGTAGTCTATTTGATAAGCTAAGTTAACAGCCCCCTAACAGTAGCTTTTAATTTACCAAATATAAATGACAATGGTATTCACATTTTATATTTTTGAAAGGTAAGGCAGTGAATAGTCGTTTTTCATTGAATGCAACAATTGCTTTCACTTTTCTACAGGATATTGAAGAGCCAGATGTCTTTGTGTGTACTGACATCTTTTCTCCTTCTTCTGTTTCTCTAGCATACTCCACGCCAGGCGCAACAGCTCCCAACAGGTTTGTCGGCATCGGATCACGGGACAACAACTTTCTGAACATCCCGCAGCAGACACAGGTAGGAGTCTTGGATACGATGTACTGATAGTTTGTCTTGGTGTAAGGGGAGGAAACTTTTCTGTTTTAAATGTGATAACATGTCAAACTCAGGAAACTTATTACCAGCATGGATGCATGCCAAAATATTTCTTATTCCCTTACTCCCCGAAACCTGCTGCTGGGTTTCCTCTGCTCTCTCACCAGCCCTCAGCACAGAATCAATGTGTGCATTTGTACATCTGTATTTTACAGTGCCTGTGTGGTTTACCATATGCGCTCAACTGTTTATTTGACTCATATGGGGCCTACCATTCAGGCAGCAGGCATTCTCCCAACTTTTTCTTTTTTTTTTTTTACTACATCGCCTCACAACCTCTCCTTTTCCTTCTCTTGCCTAAATACCTTTTCTCTGTAACGGTTTCTCTTCTTCAAGCTTTCTCAACTCTCATTTTCTTCATCTTTGCTTTGTACTTTCTCTCTTTTTAACCGTCGCCGTTCCTTCCCATCAACCCTCTGTGCTGTTTGTATGCCTCCTCCTCCATTACCACTGCACTTTTCTCATTAGTGTCCAACCACACCCACCTGGAGCCAGCCCCACTCTGCTCCTAAACATATGGAAACCATCTGAAAACTTCTTGGCTGATCCCCTCCCTTGTTTCTGTGCCCTCTGTTCTCTTCCTTTTCCCTTTCCATTCCTGCCATCTCTAATCCTTTCTGCCCTTCTGCTCGTTTTATACCACTCTTTACTCTATCTCACTTTCTAACTAATTATTATTGCTATGCTCACTAACATATGCCACCATCAGGTGTTAATGTCAATCTTCTTTTTTAACTTTTTAATTTTTGTTTATAGTAACTTAAAAAATCTGATTATTTTTTTCATTCTGTTTTGTTGTACCCAACTTTAAACACAATCTAAGGATAATTATAGGGACACCCAACATGCATGCCTTTTTGAACAGTTTCTTTTAAATCCGTCACCGACATAGAGCTGTTACTGGCTCAACTCCTCTGGTCTCAGGCTCTCCATTATATTCTGAGCCTGGCTTCACCGATTCGCTTCTATTCAGCCACAAAGGCATTATAGTGATGCTAAATTGGTATGCCATGCCATCAGTGTAACTACTTTTCAAATGTTGTTGAGGTCAAGAATGCTGTCCTAACTTAAAAAAATATTTTAAACAAAATGCATCTGTATTGCCCTAAAGTCAGAAAAAGTGTAATGACCCCAAAAAATGATAACTTTGTGGTATAAAGTATTTCAGTGGCAGTGTCATAGTGTTGTTTTAAATATGGATAATGGATGATAAAAACCTAACTGTGTATGTGCTTGTAAGAAGGTTTAATAATGATTTCTTTATGGCAAAGTCTTTATTTACAAGGGCACTCTCGAGTTGACATGAATAATATGACCTTCCCCAAACGGCTGGTCCAAATTTCATTCAATGCTGCGGCATAAAGACTTCCCTTGACAAAATAAATGAAAGTTTCACTTCCCACTTCAACGTTTTAAAAATCAAAGTGTTTAAATTTCACAGACAGTGGTATGAAGATACTTTTGGCCATCGTAGGGTGTCCTAATGTGCTTTTCTTTAATAACTGATTGATATCTAATACAAAGTGAGACATAATGTCTGAATTGTGGGTTCACTTTTAAAAGCAACAATAAAACACAGCATTAATAGTTTGCATGTGTTTCTCAGAGAATGACACACTAAGATTAATGATCCACTATAAAATGATAGATTACCAGACAAAGAGCCTGTCACAAATATGAATGGGTTGACAGCAGGACACGCTGCAAACAGTAGGCTCTGTGCGCCCTCTAGTGGCAAATGTTAGAAACTGCAACCAGGGGAAGAGGGGAAACAAGATACCAAGTGGGCAGGAGAAGAAGGGAGATGGAGGGAAAGGAGCGACAGAGAATCAGCTCTTATTGAAGTCACAGCCCAGCCGTCTCGTTACCCCCAGCAACCAGACATGATGTCATAGCCAGTTGATCTTGAATTTGAGAAGAGGTTGCTTGAGGGGGGAACAGGAAAGAAAAGAGGGTGGTCCTGTCTGCTGCCAAGGATTTAGTGGGAGTGTTCACAGTAGATAGATGTGTGTGTGTGTGTGTGTGTGTGTGTGTGTGTGTGTGTGTGTGTGTGTGTGTGTGTGTGTGTGTGTGTGTGTGTGTGTGTGTGTGTGTGTGTGTGTGTGTGTGTGTGTGTGTGTTAGAGCACCACACAGAAAGGGAGAAAAAGAGAGAAGTAGAGTAACTAATAAGGCAGAAGTCACAATGCCCAAGGCCTGCTGGGACAGTGCCCAGGGGAGTAGGGTAGCTGAGAAGAGCAGGAGGCAGAAGGGGGTATTCATGCGACCTGTTAGAGTCAAACTAAACAAAAGCGTCTTCCCTGGAGGCTCAAAGTAGTTTCCAAGGCTTGACTTGCAGAATGTTGGCGCACAAGTTCACAGTGCCAGATCCTGCAGGCCAAGCAGGGCAGCCAACAACAGCGACAGTGACCCATTTCTGCTCCCTGCTCATGCTGAGCCAGAGAACCCAACCTAAAGATTGTGCAAGTGACAAGAAGCACCAGACAATTATCCCCCCCCCCCCTGCTGCTTGGCCATTCTGAGCCCTTCACTGCTCGGCCAATTCAAAGAAGTACGGTAGTTAAATACAAAAATGGACAGAATTGATGGTAATAGCTGGGCTGGTGGCCCAGACCACTGTCATCACTCACTGTATTTGAGAACTCTGATGGCTAAAAGCCAATGTGGTGTACAGATCTATTTGTTTTGCAGATGTCATGGTGATTTTTGATATATTTCCTTTTTAGTTGCATAAAATGTTTGGTCAAGTCTGAAATCTCTCATCAACTGTGTGTTAAACAAACAGTGAAAGTTAGGTCTAGTTGTGCAGGACTATTGCAAACACATTGTACAGTGTTTTTTTTTTTTTTTTTTGTTTTTTTTTTCCTCCACTTGTGCATATTTTACATGTTCTACACTAACCTGATCTCATTCTTTACCCCATCTTTCCCTTTTCTTCTTTTTCAGTCTTGGTTCCTCTGACAAGACCTGTGTACAAACCAGCAACTAGAATTCTTTCTTTACAATCCGAAATAGAAAACAGAGAAACAGCCCGGGGATAATAATTGTCCTCAAACAAACCCACTGACCAGCCCTGACAGAACGTCTCACCTGATACAAAATATAACCAAGCAACGCAGGAAATTTCAGCAGCATAATGCTTATAGAAGAACTCTGGACTCATTTACCCAGTCAGAGGGAGGACCCGTTTGGAGCAAAGGAGGATAGATGGAAAGATGAATGGATGGACAAGAGAATGCCAGGATAAAGAAGGAATGAGGGGACAAATGGCAGCGAGCAGGCATCTCACCTGAAACCAGCAGAACACAGCAGTAACACAGGAGGAACTTCAAGAAGTGAAAGTGGTCAACCTCTCCTTACTTTGTGACGACATGTTGTGTAAACGAATGGCTGAGAAAATCAACTGTCCGACCAAAAACAAACAAACAAACAAACAGATTTAACGTTTCAGCTCCAAAGCTTCACCGATAATGAATCCACAGCCTGAGCAAAGCAAAAGGCACAATTTGGTTTCCAATGAAAGCTGCAGTCCACGCTCCTGTGATGTTTGTCATCACCAAAACAAAATCGAATTAACCATTGTTTATGTCCCTCTTTATGACTCCATAAAGTCCCCTTACCCAACTACTAACTACAGAGAGACCATGCCAAAACTTGTGTTGTTAAAAGGTTGCACTAGACGCTGAATCAATTAACACTAATCTAAACGATGTGCACTATTTACCTACAAGGCATGGGAGGTAAACCACACTTGTCTATTGAGAGTTTTAAAGAGGAAACACAGAGGTACAAGAAGCCTTCGTGTGTACTCGATCCCCATACTTCAGTTTGACAAATCATTGGCCTCCACTTATTCACACTCACACACACATACACACACACACACACCCCTCGCACGACACACACAAAGAAAGATCATGCAATCTGTGCCATGACCACATCATGTACAGCGTGTTTAAGTGGTAACACACAGTTACCTTGTCAGACCTTCTAGATTGTAGTAGTCATAGGTGGTGGTGTTGTGTCATTTTTACATGGAAACAGTTAAGCCCAGTGAACTCTTGCTACCTATTTAATTAGATATCCCAATATCACACAAACGTACACACTGAAAACCACAGTGTGAGTACATCATTACTGACAGTTTTCACGACTATAGACAGCAGCTACCAGTTCCCCCTTTTCCCTTGTGTAATTAAGCTGAATGATTTTGTTATCTCTTGTGTATTCTCTTATTTGAATTTATTCCTTTTTGGATTTGTACTATTTTGTAATTGTTTTGTATTTGAATGACAGCACCTTAAAGAGAAACACAGCGGGAGTTGGGAAGTTGAAGCGGCGTAAACAGGGTGGTTGGCTGACCTTTGTCCAGTAGTACATGCAAAAACCTTTTCTGTAAAAGTAAGTCATTTGGGGAAATATGTTGTATTTGTTGAGAGCTGGATGAGAAGATTTGTACCCATCCTATGTCTGCACGTTAAGTGGGAAGCTACCACCAGGTCGGCTGAGTTTAGCAGAGGGACAGCTAGCCGGGGTCAGTACAGAGGTCATGAAATCAGCAAACTAAGCACCTCTAAAGCTAATGTGCTCACCATGCAACTTCTGCTTTAAACTTGCCTTGTGTGAGGAAGATGCTGAAGATGGTGTGAACACAGCCTTAGACCTGCTGGTTTGCAGATTTTATTGATCTGTGCACAGTATTTTTTTCTAGGCTGAGCTAACTGGCTGCCTGGGATAGCTTTGTATTTCACACACATCCATGAGAAGGATATCAATTTTCTTCTCCAGTTCTCAGTGAATCAATGATAATATGTATTTCCTAGAGTGTCAAATGGGTTGATTTATTTGTTGCCAGTGCCAGACAATGAAGGGTTTGACAATCACAGAAAGCTTTTTTTCTGAGCACTTACCTGACAATGAAGCTAGCCAAATCTGCTATACCGCCGCGATACGACTGGTGACTGGTGGTGGTGAGTTACGAGTGAAAGAGGATTAGCATTGAGGACAGAAGGTTGCTGAAGATACGACCCAGCGTTAAAGAGAGAGTAGCTCTTCTTTCTGTCTCCTTAAAGTTTACCCTGTTGTTTACACTCCCAGACGGGCCGCTGCTCCAAGAGCAGAGGGAGCCACACTGTGGAGCAAAATGAATATGTGACATATCTGGTTGTTTTTTGAGAGGAAGAGAGGGCCTTTAAGGCCAGCAGTAGGAGGATCACCCATGTGCCCTGTT